TTTTTTTTGGTGTTTTCTTCGATTTATTTCATAAACCTTCTATAGATTTAGGTCTTTCATCCACAAAATGCAAGTTTTTAACCATTACCTATATTCCTCTCTTCTGCTTCTTCCTGGAAATAGAAATCTCTTTTAGGAATAATTTCACACTGTGAAAGTAATCCATTCTTATTGTAGAAAATACAGAAAATGTGAAGCAGAATGTTTTGGTTCAATATTTGTTCTTTGACTTGGACACTTGCAAATTGCTTTTTTTTTTTTTTAATTGGGACAGATTTGGTGTGCCTTATGTAATAATCAGATGTGTCCAGTGTATCACCAGTTATAACTTCTTTTTTTTTTTTTTTTTTTTTTTCAGCATTTATTTTTATTTTTGGGACAGAGAGAGACAGAGCATGAACGGGGGAGGGGCAGAGAGAGAGGGAGACACAGAATCGGAAACAGGCTCCAGGCTCTGAGCCATCAGCCCAGAGCCTGACACGGGGCTTGAACTCACGGACCGCGAGATCGTGACCTGGCTGAAGTCAGACGCTTAACCGACTGCACCACCCAGGCGCCCACCAGTTATAACTTCTAATAAACACTTAAAATACATAATTATTGAAATAAAAACTTTTTCCCACCTTAAATCAAATGGTTTGTGAACCATCTGTTGGGAAACATTACAAGACACCAGGGCTTCTCAAAGTGTGGTTCAGGGACCTCTGAGATGCACCAAGACCTTTTTAGGGTCTATCAGGACAAAACTATTTTCATAAGACTATGACATCTTCTTTCCCATTCTTTTATTGGGGAGTTTTCCAGAGATACATAGTGTGTGTGATTAAAACAATTTGAAGCATTTTTTAAAGTTTATTATTTTTTGAGAGGGAGAGAGAGAGAGAGAGGATCCCAAGCAAGCTCCCTGCTGTCATCATGGAGCCTGATGTGGGACTCGAACTCCAGACCATGAGATCATGACCTGAGCTGAAATCAAGAGTCGGATGCCTAACTGACTGAACCACCTAGGCACCCCAAAAACAGTTTGAATGTAAAGGGCATGAGAAGCCAGTTTTCTATTAAGCCAGATATAAAAGAGATTTGCAAAAATATAAAACAATGCCACTCCTGATTATTTGGTTTTGAAAAATAGAATATGTAGATTGAATATGTAGATTGTTTTGGGTAGTATCAACATTTTAACAATATTTATTCTCCCAATCCATAAACATGGATTAACCTAAAAGCTGTAGGTTAACATGTGATGTGGTATCACTGTTATTTTAAGATACTTAAAAAGTTATCTGTTTTAATTTATAATACAACCAACATTGATAACTATAATCCACACAAACAAAAGCTCATTGAGAACTTCAATAGTTTTTAAGAGTAAAGGGGTCCTGAGACTGAAAAGTTAGAGGCCCATTGCAATAGATCAGTCCCGAGCAATAGAACCATTTGAGATTTTCTCATGGATTAGATAAAATAGACAAACAATTTTATTCATCTGCACCTGAGGATTACATATAAACATAACCAACACAAAATAAAACTGAAAGGGATTAAAAATGACACTGATGAAATGTTATTAAAAATGACTAAGGAATCAAATTTGATGAGGACCATGGAAAATTAAACTTGAGGACAACTATTGATGAACCAAGTTTCCATGGAAAGTTTGTAATAAAAAATCAATCTCACATTAATTTTAGTAAATTGAAAAGGAAATGGAAATAACTGAAATCAATTAAAATTGTCTGTATGGTAATGTACCAAAAAATTAAATTGATTTAATTGCTAAGAAAAATGCTTTTTAGATGAAAATTCATTGCCTTTGTATTATTTGGGTTAAACTGTGTATTCATCAGCATGGAATCAAAACGTCGAGGGCAACATTTCCTCAGGATCCAAATAGCAGGTCAAATATTCTTCACTCGGGGTAGAAAAGAAACAAATTCTTTTTTAAAATTTATTTTGAGAGAGGGAGCATGAGCAGGGGAGAGGCAGAGAGAGAGGGAGACAGAATCCCAAGCAGGCTCCACGCTGTCAGCACAGAGCCAGATGCAGGGTTCGAACTCGCAACTGTGAGATCGTGACCTGAGCTAAAATCAAGAGTCAGATGCTTAACCAACTGAGCCACTCAGGTACCCCTAACATAGGTTCTTAATGTGGCTTCAAGGCCTAGGTTCTGGTCCCTGCTTATCTCACATGTATCTTCTCCCTCTTGGCCTTCTTCTCTGTCTTTTGGCCACAACAGCCTGGATAGTTCCTCCTGTCTGCTTTACTTCTGCCTCAGGTGTTAGCTTCTGCTGTTCTCTCTACCTAGAATGTGCTTCTGCTCTCTTTTGGCTGAGTTCATTCTACTTCAGTAAACAGACACAAGTTAGAAAGCCTTTGATGACTCTCAAGACATTTTCCATTGGTTATTTTAATAGCTTCTGTGTT